AACACAGAGAGAGAGAGAGAGAGAGAGAGAGAGAAGGAAAAAGATAGAGAGGTGAGTCCAACTCAGGCCCTTATACAGGTAGGCTTAACAAGGTCCAATAGTTTTCCAGCTTGGTGGTCAATGGCAATATATTAGAGTCGAAAGCGCGGGGGGCCTCGGCATTGTTGCCTCCTGTCTCAACGATTAACTGGCAAACTTTTGTCCGTTTGAGTTAGTTGCGCTTTGCCCCTGTTATGCAGGTACACACTTAGCTAGTTATACACATACATTTATACAAAATATATATGTATATATATATATATATATATATATGTATATATGTATGTACGTATGTATACGCGGAAGGGTCCTTTTACTTCTCCCTTTCGTAAGATGCAAAAGATCGCTAGTATCTTCCAACCTTCTTCCCTCTCCCTTTCCTCGTCCTATCTCGTAGCAGCTTTCAACTTCGCGAGGTGGACGTTTCTTTTCTCTCTTTTTCTCTTTCTCTCTCTCTCTATTTCTCTCTGTCTCTCTCTGTCTTTCTCTTGATCTCTCTCTCTCTCTCTCTTTCTCTCTCTAAGAGTCAGAACAGAACTGGGTAGAGAATTCGAAGCTTTCGAAGAGAAATTGTTCGATCTCTTGCTCCATTCTACAGCCAACCAGACCCTCCCCCCTCCCCTTCTTCCCCTTCCCCAATCTCCCGCACCTCACCCTGTCCCCACTCCCCCTTTTTCTCCATACCTTTATATTATCCTTATCTCTCAAGTCTCGAACGGGAAACGGGCTCAACGAGAAGCTATCGGGAAAGAAGTCGTTCGTCGTTTTATACGGAGACGATTAAATTAGTCCGACTAAATTTCATCGGACGTTTCTCAATTCGCGAGAAATAAAAGAGATGGTATACGGAGTGTTGTATACCGTGTTTTCTTTTTTCTTCACTTTTTCTTTTTCTTTTTCTTTTGTTGATTTCCTTTTTGTTTTTGTTGTTTCTCTTTCTCGGCAAAAAGAAAAAAAGGGAGATTGCCTTTGCTTTCATCTTAATAAAGATAGGAAGTGGGAGGATTCGATAAGGGAGAAGGAAAGAAAAAAAAGAAAGGAAAAATTATAAAAGAGTATTAATCTCGTTCCTTCTCTCTCGCGCGCGAGCGCGCGCGCTTTTATTTTTTTTCCTTAGGAATAAACGAGAAGCAAGTAGCAGGAAAGAGTACAAAATCGTTCGTGATTGGCTCGAATTAAGAAGAAGGTGGATCGATAACGAGGATACCTCGACTCGTCCGTGTAGCAGAGTCGAAGCGGAGGTAGGCATGTTTGAAGAAAAAAGAGAGAAACAAAGAGAGAGAAAGAGAGAGAGAGAGAAGGAGAGAGAGAGAGAGAAGGAGAGAGAGAGAGAGAAGGAGAGAGAGAGAGAGAGAAGGAGAGAGAGAGAGAAAGATCTCGTATCTCGTGGTGATGCAAATTCGGGTGAATTCTACGGATGCCCGGCACACTAAAGATCACGAATTCAGTGCGGCCTCGTGAAGCAGTCCGAGTGGTTAATTGCGCAAAACGTCGAAAAAGGAGGTTTGGAACGTCGTTCTGAGACAGACAGAGAGAGAAAGAGAGAGAGAGAGAGAGAAAGAGAGAGAAAGAGAGAGAGAGAGAGAGAGAGAGAAAGAAAGAGATCGAAGATGGTAAAGACCGGTAGACCGCAAACTCCGTCCGCGTGCGTTTCTGATGCAGCTATAAAATTTGTTTGCATTCCCTGTGTAAAAAGAGAAAGAGAAAGAGAAAGAGAAAGAGAAAGAGAGAGAGAGAGGTAGGATAGAGAAAGAAAGAGAGAGCAAGAAGGAGAGAGAAAGCGAATGTTGCGAGTGCGTTATTTCGAAGGTGTACCGAAGAAAATAAAGAATCAGAGAGGAAGAGAGAGAAAGAGAGAGAGAGAAAAAGAGAAAGAGATACATATGTGAAAGAAGATGGTTAGAAAAGAGAATGGCGATAATGAAGAAAGAAAAGAGACTGAGAGAAGAAGTAAAAGAAAAAAAGTGGGAGAAGTAGAGAGGGAGAAAGAGAAAGACAGAGAAAGAGAGAGAGAGAGAGAGGGTCGAGTTGGCTAACGGATGATTTAATTAAGAGAGGCACAAATTACAGGGCCGCTGGATGCTAATGCCCATCCATGCTCGCCTTCGCCGAAGCTCCTTAATTAGACGCTCCTGATTCATTGAGAAATTAAACCTTGACGAATGACGGCACGACCATCGTCGTACCCCCCGTGTACGATCTTGTTTTCTCTCTCTTTCTCTCTCTCTCTCTCTCTCTCTTTTTCTTTCGATTTTGTTGCATACACACACACATGTATGCGGATATATACAGGGTGTAACCGCTAGTATAGTTACTATGATTGAGTGTATCTATGGTAATAATGATAAGAAAATTCTGATCTCGACTGTTTTCTTTCTTTTTTTTTCCCTTTTTTCCTATCATTTTCTTCTTTTTTCTTTTTTCTAAAGTTTGCATCACTTTTGCCAGATGGTATTAATTAATTGCGATAGAAGTATCAAGCCGATATTTGACGTGGCAATGACAGCTGGAAAAATAAATTAGATAAAGCGGAATAATTATTAACGAATTGATAATGTCAGAAAAGAAAAAAAAAATCAAATCAAACACATAATTAGGACTGAATAAATGTTTTTAAAAACGTGAACGAAATTACATAATTAGATATATTATAATACACCATGTATATATAGTATATAAATAGTATATATATATATATATATATATATATATATATATAATATTTATGGTGTGTATATATATATATATACTATTATAGTATATATATATATATATGTATATACACACATATATACACATATTTGTACATGCAACGGTTCGCTTCCGCTTCTCATCTCGCCTTCTTTTCCATTCATTCGAGATCAAGCAGAGATGTCGAGCAAAGAGCATCGTTAGAGAAGAATCTTTATGGGAGAAAGCGAGACGGAGTGACAGTGAGAAAGAAAGAGAGAGATAGAGAGAGAATAAACAGATTTCGAAGAACTAGAGGGGAGGTTTGCATAAAAGGAGCGTTTCGAAGAGGTTTCGAAATTCACCGCGCGTGAAGTGCACCGAGTAATTAACCGAGTTCTCTCTCTCTCTCTCTCTCTCTCTCTCTCTCTCTCTCTCTCTCTCTTCTGTCTTTACTCGTGCCTTCCGTTTTTCGATAGGGTCCAGATAAAAGTCAACTCGAAAAAAGCTTGACTCGCTCCTTATCGTTTCGTTGTCGTCTGTCTCTCTCTCCCTTTTGTGTCTTTTTCTATTTCTTTCTTCTTTCCTCTCTCTTTTTTGATTTGCACAAAATTACCGAATGCCGCGCGTAATCGAGTCATTTTTTAATTATTTATTAAAGTTTTTTTTTCGGTTACATTCGCATGGTGCTACCGATGAAGTAGTCGTTCTCTCTTTTTCTTTCTCTGTCTCTCTCTCTGTCTTTCTCTCTCTCTTTCTCGTCGCACCTTCATTAATAACGCCGTTCCGCTAAATTAGCGAGTAATTAACGCGTCGCGAGGAAAGAAAGGTCCGATAACGAGTCGAGCTTAATTCGAGATCAAGCCTTTGTCTCGTACCTTCTCTCTCTCTCTCTCTCTCTGTCTCTCTCTCTCTCTCTCTGTCTCTCTCTTTCTCGCTCTCTTTCTCTTTCTGCTTGATAGTTTATCTCTCATTTTTATTTATCATTCCCTTATTCTTCGCCTTGTTTTTTTTTCGTTTTTTGTTCTTTTCTTTTTTCTCCTTTTTTTTTTTACGGTAAGATCCTCACAAAATATTTTTTATTTCCTGCTTCATTTCACTGAGAATTTTTATCTCTCTTTTACGCTTTTGTTTTCTTATGCGTAAAATGTATAAATATATTTCGATAATCATGTTTTCAATAAATGATGGTTTTTTTTCTTTTCTGTCCTTTTTTTACGAGAGAAAGAAAATAACAATCGTTATTATTATTATTATTATTATTATTATTATTATTATTATTATTATTATTATTATTATTATTATTATTATTATTATTATTATTAATTTATGTTCGATCGAAATTGAACGCAACGAGCATCCAATATTTTTTATCTTTTTTACATTATTATCGAATTAGGTCATCTATCCTAACATTACAAAAATCAATCGATAATGCGTTTAAAATATCTACGTAAAAGGAAAGATGGATATTAACATAAAAGCGTAAATAAAATAAAGTAATACCGATGATGATGGGGATGATAAACGTACGATTTGATTAATTTTCTTAGTTAGTTAACGCTTATTTGAGTTATCTGAATACTTGTTAGATATTATCGTGGCGTTATTAAAATGTCAGAAATTATTGAGAACAGAGAAATGAGGTAATAAAGTTTCTTACGAGAACGGCCATGCAAACGAATGCTAACGGACGTAATAATGAGCGTTTCGTTTAATTTTCCTCGCAAAATGCAACATTTTAAATAGCAATATCTTAAATGTCGACCGTCAAAATAGATAGACAGATAGATAGATAGATAGAGAGAGAGAGAGAGAGAGAGAGAGAGAAAGAGAAAGAGAAAGAAAAAGAGAAAGAGAAAGAGAAAGAAAGAAAGAGATAGAGAAAAAGATAAATATAGAAAAAAGAGAAAAATGTATTTTATTTTACTTATTTTTTTTTCCTTCACGTACTTCTAACGTGACTTTCAAGATCGTCAATATTTTATATATATACATATATATATATATATATATATATATATATATATATGCGTAAATATGTGTATGTGAGTATATGTCGTATATATATGTAAGTACATATGTATGTAAATTCGAGGAACGTTAGGCCGGCAGATATGATTCCATTTACTTTAAGACGCGATTCCGTTATGGAAAGTACCACTGCGGATACTTAATAAAGCGAAGATAGGTTATTACGATTGGCGGACGAGCGGTTAAAAGCCGAGATAACGCGCGATCGCGTTTCTCAATTTCAAGCGAGTCCCTCAATTTACATTCCTTCCGTTCATTTCGCGGATCGCACGCGGATTGAACGAACGCGAGAACGGGAATTGTCGGTAGATATTCTTTTTCTTTCCGTTTTTTTTCTTTTTTTCTTTTTTTTTTTTTTTTTTTTTAAATTATTATCTTAGCATTTTTTATTTTTGTTTTTTTTTTTTTTTTTTTTTTATTTTTTCAGATACATAAACACGTCTTCGGAAAGACGTTTCATTCGCACGCGATAGTGGCAATTTTCTTTTTCGCATTTTCGTTTACCATAAGTAAATTATTTTTGTTTGACACGACGAATTCGTTTTCTGTAAGGGGGGAAAAGAAAAAAGAAAAAAATCAAAAAAAAAGGTTATCATCGCCGTTGATATCATCTAATAACAAAAGTTAATCGGACCAACAGTGATATTCGTTATACTCGAAAACAGCAGTTAATCAAATCAAAAAATGATTGTAATAATCGTAATCATTACTTTTAAATTATCTTTGCATCCTATCAGGTTTCTTCTTCGCTCCAATAAACGAAGAGCAGAAGATACGAGAGCAAGAGGATCTGTAGAGAGCGAAAAAGAAAGATAGATGGAGAGAGAGAGAGAGAGAGAGAGTGAGAGAGAGAGAGAGAAGAAGAAGTGGAGAAGTAGAGGCGGAGAAGAAGGAGGAAAGAAAGTCTTGTAGAGGGCACCGTAGCGGGGTCCGAGTGCCGAGTGCGTTAATTAGCGGGATGCTCACGCGAGCGAGCAATTAAAACGACATCTTCATTATTAGTTGCGTATATATATGCACACACACACACACATACACACACACATACACACACAGCAGACGTACTAATATATACACAAATATGTATAAGTGGAAAAAGAGAGATTATATATATTATACATATGTGTGTGTGTGTGTGTGTGTGTGTGTGTACAAACATCGAAACCGAATAATACTGTAGTCCTCTGCTACCGCAATTTACTTTTGAGTTGGAAAGACACGAGGCAGAGATACAAAAAGAGAAAAAACAAGAAAGAAAGAGAGAAAAAAAAAGAGACAGAGAGAGAGAGAGAGAGAAAGAGAGAAAGAGAGAAAAGTTGTCTATAAACAGGAGGAGTAAGTAAAGACGACGTGCTATGCTGGATCGTTACCCGTCCGTTTATCACGATCTTGAGAATTAAGACCTTGTGTATTACTTAACGCCCGTTACGATATCGGTCGAGAAGCAAAATCGTTTTTATCTTATTCAGAAAGAAAAATAAAAAGAGAGAGAGAGAGAGAGAGACAGACAGAGAGACAGACAGAGAGACAGACAGACAGACAGACAGAGACAGTGAAAGAGAGAAAGAAAAAAGAGGATGAAAAAGAAAAAAAACAAATTTCTGGATAGCAAGCTTTCTTTTTCTTTTTTTTTTTCTTTTTTTTTAAAGATTGATTGTCCCTGATAAAGATCGCGTCCGCCCAATGATCCTTTCCGTTTTCCTTCGACATATCATTTAAAAAATTTAACGTAATCTCAGATAGTGAGTAATAACAAGTTGTTCTTAATATCTTAAAAAACCGATTAAACACTTGGGAAGCGTCGAGATTAAATCTGCCGATTGAGGTTACATATGGGTTCGAAAATTTACGATTGGATCTGATCAAGATTATAATAATCAAGTTGATAAAGAATTTCGTAAGGTTAGCTCGCTTTTATGATTACGTCGTTGAATTATTAGATGATCTTTTTAAGTAAAGATATTGATATGGTAATATATATATACATATAATACATATATATATATATATATATATATATATATATGTATATACATATATCTTTTAACTTCATAATAGATATAGTAAACGAAGCAATCGTAGTCAAATGATAAATATAAAATTTATTAGAATAAACGGGACGATGTATTTATCTTAAAAAATTACATGTCGCATAATAATTACATAATAATTAATACACAATCTATGATTCATACATAATCGATGATTAAATCATCGTTCGATTGTCATCGCAATAATAAGAGTCAGTGAGACGTATCGATTAAAATAAAAAATTGGAATGTACGTAATAAAGAGAAGAGAAACGAAAAAGATACGAAATATAAAATTACGAAAGAAATAGAGAAAGCAAGTAAGAAAAAGAAAGTAAGAAAGAAAGAGAAAGAAAGCAAGAAAAAAAGAAAGAAAGAAAGAAAGAAAGAAAGAAGTTAACGGTAGCAACGAACCGCCCGCCTCCTGCCAGTATATTTTATTATTTAATTTCAGACTGTGCTGGTCTGCCGGGGCGTTATGAGACATGAAAAAAGTCTTGGGCGATATTGTAGGTGGATTTCCAAGGCGAGAGCAAGCCACCCAACCACCCCTCCCTCTCCTCTCTATTCCCTCCTTTCCTTCACTCCTCCTCACCACTTCTACCATCACCGTCACTACCACTTTTCCCCCACTACCACGTTTTTCCTCGAGAATAAGAGAGAAAAAGAGAGAGAGAGAGAGAGAGAGAGAGAGAGAGAGAGAAAGAAAGAGAAACTGAAAGAGAGAACATAGAACCAACCAACCCTCCTCGTCTTCGCCATCTCGCCACTTCTGCGAGCAGAGGCTGCGGCTGTGGCTACGGCGACGGCGGCGGTGGCGGCGGCGGTGGCGGCGGCGGCGGCGGCGGCCGAGCCGGCGCACCGGTGACATTATTATTCGTTATGAACGGGTTTACGAGGCCGCAAATCATGGCCGTGTTCATATTTCGAACGGCCGCTCTCCTCGTTATTCAGTTTAATGGCGACGGTATTTGAATTCTCGATCCACCCCTCTTCTCACCCTCGCAATGTCTCTCTCTCTCTCTCTTTCTCTCTTCTTCGTTTGACTCGTTCTTTTTCTCCCTCACTCCTCTTTTCACTTGTTATCTCTTCTCTCTCTCTCTCTCTCTCTCTCTCTCTCTCTCTCTCTCTTTCTCTCTCTCTCTTTCTTTCTTCGTTCAGCTTATGTTCTCTCTGTCTCTTTCTCTCTTTTTTACTTCTCTTTCTTCGTTCAATTCATGCTCTCTCTGTCTCTCTCTTCCTCTCTCTCTTTCTCTCTCTCTCTCTCTCTCTCTCTCTTTTTCTCTCTTTCTGTCTGTCTCTCTTTCTTTCTGACTCTGATATTTCTTCTTCTTTTTCTTTCTTCCTCTCTTTCGTACGCGCCGCCCAGCACAGTTCGCCAACGATGTTACAATGTTAAACCGCATAAAGCACCCTTCCACCTGACGGCTGTACCTCGTAAGGTGCACACCAAGAATTATTAAATCTTAATACCCGTATCGATGAACGGACGCTTCCTGGATCTGTCGACGGTTGTTGCCTGGCGCATGTTCTGGTGGTATAAGAACTATACCATACGGTGTCAAGAATGCAGTTCATTTTTTATCTTTCTTTTTGTTCTTTTTTTTTTATTTTTCTTCTTTTTCCTTTTTTTTTTTTGTAATTCAAACGAGATGATCACTTTAGTTTCGAGTAAAAGAGGAGAAATTAACAGACGAGATCGTTACTTTTAATTATTACGATACACGAATTACGCCATTGTCGATATTGTTACTTTCTTGTCTTTTTTCCTTTTTTTTTTATTTAATCTATGTAATAAGATGTACATAAAAGATATAATAATTTATTAATGTCGCAATTTATTAATTTCGCTGACTGTCTCGTTGTTTGACGATAAAAATTTACGTTAAACTTTGTCATTACAAAGATATTATAACACATTTGTCAGTGAGTACCAAACAAATTTTACAAATTTTATCGTGCACAGAGGAAAGATAATTCGTATATTAATTAAAAATATTTATTAAATGTAATATCGAGAACAAAAAAAAATCCCACGTTCGACAAAGGAATTAATAATCGATCAAAGAAATATCAACCTGTTTTTTCTTATTTTTTTTTTTTTATAAAAAGAAAAACAATTGCATTTGACGCAGATAATCCCATATATCCTAAAAATACGAAAGACAAAACTATATGGTCACCTAAAATAACTGAATAGTTTCTTGATCAGTAAAGGCTCAACGTTGTCTCAAAGAGAAAGGAACTTTCTGTTTGGAGAAAAGGAAAAATAGGAAGAGAGAGAGAGAGAGAGAAAGAAAAAGAGAAAATGGTCTTCGAGAAGCTTTGGAATTTCGCGAGTTTGGTCTCTCGGTCTCTCTTGAAGCGGCTTCGAGTTACATCGACTTCCTGAGAAGCATACGCGTCGGTCCCTTTAGTTAAAAGAAACTAGCCTAACTCCTACGTATCGGCAAGGGCAAAGGTACCGCTACTAGAGTAGGGACGCCTAAAGTAGTCATCGTTTTGTGTATGTATGCGTGTGTGTATTTATCGGCACTTTCAAAATGTTTACTCAACGTCGCGATAGCTTTCTGCACCTGGTGTCAGAAAAGGGTTTTGAAACGACAAAATCATTATCACAGACGTTTACCATTCTATAATAAGCTTCCGATCTTTTCGAAAAGGATAAAAAGTTAATAATAAAATAATTGTTTCGTAAACGCGATTGAAAAAATTTTTTTCTTCTACGAATAAATTTTTTTCTTGAACGTTCCGAATTGATCGTTGTGAACAATTATGGAGGAGTAAAAAAAAAATATTAAAATGTTAATGATGTGTAGAAGAAGAAAAAAGAAAATTAGACGAACAAACATCTAAGTTCGTCATGTATATGTTTGATAAAATTTTTTCTCATCTGTTTTTACGAATATTTAATTTTCTTACCCTCTCCCCGTTTGATAATTTCTATAGAGTTTTTAACGATCGAACGATGTTCGCACGCATTACCACCTTAATAAAGACGAGAGAGAGGGGGAGAGAGAGAGAGAGAGAGAGAGAGGAAGAGAAAGAAAGAGAGAGATTGAGAGAGAAAGAAAGAGAAAGAAAGAGAAAGAGAGAGAGAGAGAGAGAGAGAGAGAGGCAATGGGTGAGACCGTGTTTGCCAGTATATATTCGGGCTGCGCGTGTCGCCGTGCGAAAATTAAAGGCCATAAATCATAGGCGCGTTCCGCATCGGCTGCCCATGAATATTAATGGAAATCATTGCACACGCCATTTAGAGGCCTATTAATCCGTACCCAGTTTATCGACCTCCTACTCTTCGTCTTTCTCTCTCTCTCTCTCTCTTTCTCTTTCTCTCTGTCTCTCTCTCTCTCTCTCTTTCTATTACTCTGTCTCTTTTTCTCACTCTGTCCTTCGCTCTTCCTATTTATTTATTTACTTTTATGTTCTTCAATAATAAAACATTTCTATACTATCATTTTATCATTATGATCGTTTAAGATCGTTTTTGTAAATCCAATAATTTCAATTATAGACACAACAGAACAAC